GATCCAACAAACGAGAGAGGGTCACGCGTACTCGAACGGATGGTCCAGATTGACACGGGATGAGTATTTAAACATCGTGTCACATGAGAACCCTAACCCTAACCGCACATGCCCTTTCCGCAGAAGAAGAACCAGCCGTCAGAGACGAAGATCGATCCCTGTCTGCCGTCGCACTGGGGCCACCACCGACTGCCAAAAAAGGTAAAAAAAATTTCTTCATACTCGGAATTTAATTCTGAGTCTCTCTATGGCCATATCGGAACAAAAAAGATGACAGGTGAGTTAAAAACTGCAGGCAAAGTCCAACAGAGGTGCCGTGGCTGAAATCTTAAAACCCCTTCGATGAGCCCCTTTTCATTTCCTGTTTCATATAATTTTCTGACCATTGTGTTCACTATCCTTTTATGTGAAGGTTAGCCGAATGAGAAACCCCATCCACGAAGGAGAACTGATGGAGTCGTTGCACCCGGAGACCCCTCCCCTTGCCGATAGGTTTGATTTCTTTTGATTTTCTAACCAATCGAGACCCCCTAATGTATTTTTCTGCAGGGACTTATGTAAAACTGTCCAAAATTGGTCAAAATCGAGCAGGTCGAGGCGAACCGCCGTTGTGGCCGATAGAGCCGACGCCACCGTGCCAAAACTATAAAATTGGCAGGAAGGAGTTTTCAACGCTGATTTTAGGTTTTTGAGGTATTTTTAGGTACATAACAAGTATTTTGATTCCCGCATTAAAAATTCAAGAAATCGGGACCCATTAGGAGGCATAGTAGATAGCACGGTATTTCAAAACACCGATCTGGATAAGGATCCCTCACCCTATTCTCTGTTATGATAAATTAAGAGTTAATAATCAATAATTGTGTATTTTGTGATAAATTAAAAAAATTCTAAAAATATTACAAGTCACTAGTGGAGTCAGAATTGGATAGTTCATATTTGTCCTGATTCCCTGTTTATTTTTCTGTACTGCCTAAATTGCTTACTATTATATTGTGCATGTTTAAATTTATAATTTTTATAGTCTTTTCGATTATCTGATTTATTTAATTCCTCCTGCATTGTTTATTTGGTTATCCAGTTACTCGACTATTGGTTATGATAAACTATATTGCTTCCTTAAATGCTGTTTAAATTGATCAGTGAATATGAAATGAGATGTTGGTATGTTTTGGTAATTGTTTAGATGATAAAAATCTAAATAAATGAAAGCTTACTGGGTATCATGGAAAATGGTAGACGGACTTGATATATAGAACACTCTACCGTGGATATTACCTCAGTCAGATGGAGTTGAGAAGTCTCATACTAGAAAGGTTTTTTGAGAGATGGTTCACCCTCAAACTAGACGGGGTATCGGGGCGATAGTGTTTTTGGCTCCCATTATCAGACGGGGTATGAGAACGACCGAGTTACTTGTCAAATCTTGATACTGAGTCCACGAGTAGATAGATATCCCTATGGACTACCAGGGGTCCAAGTAAGTAGGTTAAAAAAAGAAAATTATTGATCCTATGCGTGAAATTGAAATGTAATTTGGTTATTTGTCTTCATAAATTGATTTTGGAAAAAAATCATACTGGTAAGTATCGAATAAAACGTTTTAAAATTAAATGTATTTACTTAAAATAAGAACTCCATTAGTTATTTTTTAACTTTTAACAACATTCGATTTTCTGTATAAGTGATTAATGTGATATTCTTACTGCGCTAATATAATTCACATTTTTATTAATAATTTCATATCAAGAAGATCAAGATCCAGATTCTGATCAGTAAAAGAATTGTGAGTAGTTCACCTCCCAAACTTCCTTCAAGTGCTAGTGGAGGTTAACCCTTAAAATATTTATTTATTTATTTTTATTATCGTTTGTCTTTTTATGAACTAATATAGAAGAGACATTACGTAACCCAATTGGGTATCCCAATTTACTGTGTAAAGAATTTAAACCATAACTTTATTGTTCGTTTCCGCATTAAAGATAATAACTTCATTTTTTTTAAGGTTTCGGATTTTTACATATTTTGATTTACTATGTAAAAAATGTAAACCATAAATTCTTAATTGCTTCCGTCAATCTTTTACTAATACAATATGTATTCATTTTCTGAAAGTTTTGGGCCTTTACAAAATATATAGTATTGAGATTATTTTACTAAATTTAAAGGTAATAACTTTTTATTTTAACATAATTTTTATTCGAATTATCATTTTCATGTTCTTGTATCGTTCACTATTCACGTTTTTTCAATTAATAAAATTTATTTTTACTTTTAAAGAAAAATTTGCTCATATAAATAACATTTATATTTTTATTTATTAAAATTATATTATGTGTGTAGCATGTTTAAAAAAATTTTGAGACATTTTTTTATTTTTAAATACTTAAATAGAAAAATTTTTGTAACACTCGGAAAATATGAAAAAAAAAAAAGAAAATTTATTATTTTATTTTAAATATTTTAATTAGGTTAAAAAAAAAAACCACGTTAGCAGACCCAGTCAGCAGTCCTGGCCAACCAGGACCTGCCACGTGGCAAAACCACGTCGACCGAGAACGGGCCACGTTGGCGATCCGCGTACGCGCGATCGGACGGCCCAGATTAAAACAAAATGGACGGCTGAGATCAAAAGGCAAAAGGGTATAAATAGAACCCCCACACCTGACCACAAAAACCCTAGCCGCCTGCCCTCGCCGGAGAAGACGAACCAGACGCCGGAGACGCCGGCCGCCGCCACCCGCCGCCGCACCGGGGAGATTTCCGACCGCCGATCGAGGTAAATTTCATACCCCCGACTCGTTTTTCTACAATGATTTCCTCTGTGGCCAAATCGGAGCCAAAATCCCGGCCAAACGGCCGAAAAACACGGCTGAAACCCAGCGGCGCCGCCGCGTCCCTTCTCGGTTTTTGCCTCCGATGAGGCCCTTCCCGGCCTCCGTTTGATGCAATTTTTATATCACCGTGATCACCATTCTTTTTTTTACAAGTTGATCGGAGCAAAATCACCAAAACACGAACTTCACCGGAGAGCCGCCGCACCCGAGAGCACCGCCGCTGGTAAGCTTCGATTTTCCATAATTTTTTGGCCCCCCGAGGGCCCTAGGGTTGTTTTATCGTAAGGACCAATGCAAGTGTGGCCGAATTCGGCCGGAAACGGCCTAAAACGGCCAAACCGAGGCGAATCGCCGCCGCAAGCGTTTCAGTTCCCCGAGAAAAATTCAGGGAAAATTAGGGACAGCCTGTAGGTGCACTGTGAAGCCGTGTTCGGACCCCGAAACGTGTAAGGACCCCTCACCCTATTTTCTATCACGGTATTAAAGTTCAATAATTATAAAATGGTATTTCTTGAATCAACGAATGTGTGAAATTGCTTAAGGTCGCTAATGGAGCCCGAGTCTAGTGTGTTTGTCGGTTAACTGTTATTTGGCCTATTTTACAGTTTTAAATGCAGTATGAGGTTTGATGTTTTCATTTTATGATTTCGTGTGCATATTTGACCGTTTTATTGATTATGGATTGAATGACTGAGATACTGATGCTGCATGTTGCCTGTTTGGCATAAATTACTGTTTTGCTTATTTGTATGTGAATCGATGATGCTGACTGAGGAAAAGGAGAATGAAAGATTATGTAAATTGGTAATTGTATAATGGGGTCAGCCTGACTAGATATCCTGGGAGATGGTGGACGGATCAGGTCCGTAGGGAACCCTACCGGGATTGTGGTCTCTCATACCGGATGGGGTATGAAGACCTTATGTGTTTTGGCGCCCATACCGGACGGGGTATGGGGACGGCCCGTTTCACCCTCATATCGGACGGGTATTGAGATTTATAGTTTTGGCGCCCATACCGGACGGGGTATGGGGACGGCCCGTTTCATCCTCATACCGGACGGGGTATTGAGGTTTATAGTTTTGGCGCCCATACCGGACGAGGTATGGGGACGGCCCTAGAATTTGATTACAAGTGTTAAGGGTTAACGGGTAGTGGGACCCCTATGGATCCCCATGGATACTAGTAGGCTGGTAAATGAGGAAAATTATGTTGTGTAATGATTGAATTTCAAAAGGCGTGATAAGTATTATGTTATACAGTTTATATGACTTCATGATGATGATAATGTTATTGCTTTCGTATATTGTTTTATGAATTTCACCGAGGTAAGTAGATGGTAAAGGATTTATTATGGATAAAAGGATTTGTTGTAAATTATGCTTCATTGATATTTTTGTGTTTTCTACCCACCTTTACATCTGTGACAGTGAGATATCGTGATGTCTTTACTGGGCTACTGTAGCTCATTCCTTATTTAATCATTTCAGATCAGGAAGACATTGTTCCCGAGCCCGTTCCGCAGGAAGACGACGAAGGGGACGCCTAAAGACTCCATAGTCATATTCATAGCTTTTACTTTCGAGTTTCTCATTCAGTTAGTTTAATCTTTTATATTTTGTGAACATGTTTTTGGTTTTAGTGTAAGGGATGTTAATCGAATTTTTTTGACTTCGCTTCCGCATTTGATATTTTTAATACACATTTCATTTTAAATTTCCGGGGCCGTTACAATTTTGCTCTTGAAAAGAATAAAATTTCCATCATTTAATTCTTTTATTCCTATACCGAAAATCATAAGTAGAAATAATTCGTGCAAGACAAATATTTTCATTTAATTTTTCACTATGCTCCCTAATACACACGAAATCCCAACTTGATTTACAAGAAAATTGAGTCCAAATTTGCTTAACCTATTAAACGTAATCTTTCCTTTTTTAAGATATTGTACCATATATAAAATGTGTTAACTAATATATATATATATATATGACAACAAACATATTGTATTAATTGTAAGCCTGCTCCTTCACACAATTTCTCTTGGCTTCAGTTCAACACTACCTATACTCTGACTCTTCCGCTTCCTGTTCCTGCTAAAAAGCGTCTCCATCTCCTCCAATGTTCTTCCCTTCGTCTCTGGAAACAGGAAGTAGAAGAAGAGCCAGGCTATCACTGAGATTATAGCAAACATGAAGAAGGCTCCTCCAATGGTTATCGCTTCGTATATCGATATAAAACTCATCGAAATCGTAGCGTTCATCAGCCTGTTCACCGCTACTCCTATCGCAACTCCTTGAGCTCTCAGCTTCAATGGAAATATCTCTGTACTATACACCCACGTCACAGGACCCAGTCCGATCGAGAAGAATGCTACAAACATATAAGTAGTGACGATGCTCAGTACCAAAGCCCATTCAAGCTTCATTCCAGACTTCTCCGCTACTGTCAAGCTGAATCCTAATGTTGTCAATGCCACAACCATCCCGCCTGTACTTGTTAACAGTAACCTTCTTCGCCCAGACCTGTCGAGCAAAAACGTCGTCATAGCGATGAACGTTATTTTCGTCAGTCCAACGCCGATGGTGGCGAGGAGGAGCTTGTCTTTGCTGGTTACTCCGGCTTTCTTGAAGATTCTTGGGCTGTATAAAATCACTGCTTCAATCCCCGTCGCGTGTTCGAAGAAATGAATCCCGATTGCGGCAATCAAGATCCAGCGTACTGCCGGAGTTGGCCGGAGAAGTAACTCTTTCCATACCCCTTGACCGCCGGTCTTTCTCTCGAGCATAACAATTTCGTCGTTGCAGTTCTCGTCTATTCCCGCTGCAACTTTTATTTCCCGGAAACGAATCTCGGCTTCTTGTTCATCGTTCGAGACCTTGAGCAAGACCCTCCTGGCTTCCCCCAACCGGCCCTGAAGCACCAGCCATCTGGGTGACTCTGGCATTCTTGTTATTCCAAAAGCCAGCGCAAGTGAAGGGATTGCCGCCACGCCGAGCATCATCCTCCACCCGAGTTTCAATGTCAGCTTTGCGAAGAAGAAGTTCGAGACGTAACCCAGTAAGATTCCGGTACTGATGCCAATCTCCGGTAGGGAAGTTATGAGCCCTCGCGATCCTGGAGATGAAATCTCTGCAGAGTAAACCGGTGCGATCATCAGCGCAAAGCCGACGCCTATGCCCGCCGTACATCTTCCGGCCATTAAGAGTACGTAGTTTGGTCCATAACCCATTAAAACTGAGCCGACCAGAAAGATAATGGAGGCCACAACGATGGTGTATCGTCTTCCGATGTAGTCCGAAGTTCTCCCGGCGAGGAGAGAACCAAAAAGTGCACAGATGTTTAGGATTCCGGCCAACACCTCGACTTGAACGTCGTCGATCTTCAAATCTTCTTTTATAAATATCATAGCTCCACTCATAACTCCGGTATCTGCCAAAAAAACCAATGTCATATTTAAAAAGAAAATGGAACTTAAAAATCTTTTTCCAGAAATTTGGAAAAACCAACAAGAACAAGACTTACCATAACCAAAAATGATCGATATCATGGAGGCAACTATAGCACATGCACAAGCATATTTATTGAACTGGGATCCAGTTGGGTTCCGACTCTCCATGTCTCCCTGGACCGCCATTGATACACTACTCTGCAACTCCTTCCTCCTCTCAGATCAATGAATATCAGCACGTGTTTGGTCGTGTCTGTAAGTAGTGTAATAGAAGCACAATCCCTTCTTCACCAAATTAAGCTTCTTATATAGGATCAAAAAGGTGATGATCTCAGTGGAGGTTGGTTGACAATGATGAAGTTTATCATCAAAAGTATATACAGTTTTAATCGTGTGGTATCCACGAGATAAAACAAACAGGATTGCCCTGCTGTAAATTGCTGTGAGATCTCGCTATCATGCAGAAAAGGCAGTTATATCCTGTTGATAGCTAGTCCGTTTAAAGGTCGTATAAGGTGGATTTATAAACACACTATAAAATATATACGTACATACATATCTTTTGGGTCTGCAGAGTCAACGAAATTGAAAGTTAGTGACGCGGATAAAATTATACTAGTTTTGGGAGAAGGGTTTGTAGTTATCCGTCATCCTTAGAAGACTAATTAGTTTGTAAAATAATAAATTTGGTTAAAAACTCATCCTTTTATTTAAAGTTGAGATAAGATTGCCGAGCAAGTTGCTGTTTTGTTATTAAAAGTCAACACAATAAGCGGTTTACCACATGGAAATTTGACTCGACTTTCTTGGATCTTGATTCCAAGTATGAAACCCTAGACCCTCACCTGTCTTGTAAATGTCAAGTTGTTTTGAATCGCATAAATAAATTATCTAAAAGTGCAAATTTTTTGAGAATTGTTCTTAATTTACAATTGTAGTTGGATTAGGGGATTGGGTTTTTATTCCATTAATAAAAGAATTCCAGAAGCTAATTACTAAAAATCAGAAAATCTAATTTGTTTCGTATCAAATCAAATCCGTATTCAATAATTTTTTCTTTAAAATAAATTAAGAATTAATTTGTCTCAACTATTCATATCGCATTAATATTAGTTGGCTGACATACTCTGTATTAAATCAAGATGGATGACTCTCTATAATAGTTGGTATTACAAATTTTACTTATGCATGAATGAGATACATTGCATTATCCTTAAATTTAGAAGCTTGAATTCCTTTTATAACATAATGCAAAATGATGATATTCTCATTAATTAGCTTACTTTTTTTTTGTTTTTTTTGCAGTATATAACAAAATAACTTAATTAATAATTTTATTCATGGCTCTGCAATAGAAGTTAGAACCTAAAATTCGATGGTGCTTATATCTCGATAATCCTCATCCCCAAAATCTTATTTGAACGATTGATTTTCATGTCAGTTGAATCAAAATTAATTTTAATTATAATTTTTTTTAAGAAAATTAAAATTACTATAGATCGAAGTTTTTGTGGATATATAGTTGACTTGAGGTATGATGGAAGCCCATGTCTATTATGTGATTTATGGTGCATGATATATATATATATTGTTTTTCTATTTTATTAGAAAGCACTAGCAACAATAGCATAGTATAAAAGGTGATATTTGTTTACTGAGGCAGGCGATATCTCTTTTAATCATGTGCTTATTTAAATTAATTAAAGAGTGTCGTATGATAATTAGTTACTAATAATAGTTAAAATTTTATATTTTATTTAAAAAATTATAAATTTAAATTTTATTAAAGATCTAGACCTCACAATTTATTATAAACTATTATTATAAATTGATTTAATTTGATTAAATTAAAAATCTAACTTCCTAATGTATATATTATTATTGGAGGTATAGTGATTAAATTTTAATAAAATTAAATTTCTTTACTTAACATAATCACGAACTCACCAAAACTATTTTTATTTGTAAAATAAGGAAAGCATTTTGTGGGCTAGAAATTATAAAGAAATGGAAAGGAATTAAATTTTGTGTTGGTCTTATCTGATGCCGACAACCATCACCATGAAAATATATTTATTTCCAAGGTCAAAAGTCGTCTATGGCAGACTTTCATCCACTCAAATTAATCTTAATTATGATAAAATTATTTTTTAGTTAATAATTCATTCATTCACTCATTAATTACCAAGATTTTGGATAATCTATCAAATCAATTATTTTTAGTATAATTAAAATAAAATTAAGACGATACTTTTGTAATATACATAATTACAATTATAGAGGAGTGCATTTCCCTCTATTATTTAGTTTGAAGATTGTAAGATTATTACAGATTCGTTTATAACATAAATTCAAACTTATTAATATAAATTATTATTTTGTTTATGTTAAAAGAAAAATAAAAGTGTTGTGGCATCGTGAGTGTTTAGATATTTAAATAAGAAATCTATAGCGACGTTTCCATTGAGTGGGTTGGTGCCTGCCTGCAATTAGTGGCTCGTGAGCTCGACCATCTCCAGTGTTTCCACAAACAGAGGTCCACACAGCCGGTCGACACAGATTGGCTGCATGTCCATCGCATTACATATATGTATACATATATCTATGCATGTATTATATATGTGTATTTATTGGTCAAATGTGTGTGCGTGTACGCCATTATTGACATTGGCCTGTTCCTGTGAGATATATATTTTTTGCATCTTGAAATTTGAAGGTACATACATTTCAAAAGAATGGAAGTCCAAAATCTCAATAGCTACCCAACCAATATTAGATATTTTGTTATTTTTATGAACTGATATATTTTAGTTTATTTTCAAACAAGTAATAGAAAGGGTTTCATCAATATTGCAGGCTGCCACAGCCTGCCGCGCACTGAAGACCTACTGCGTATGGGGTTGCACATAGTCGCGCCTGTTTGTGCGCGATGTCACACGCGCACAGACCGTGCCTCGCGCCTCAGGCAGATGGGAAACATTCTGCGCTGGCCGCGCGCACGCCACCTAGAGCCCACGCAGTCAGCTTCCTTCCTACAGGCATTCCTACGAGATTTTCTGTCATTTCTCATCCATTTTTTTTTAAAATATTTTTAATTAATTTTAAATACAGATTATTTACAATTAAATTAAATAAAATAATTTAATTAATTATTTAACTAAATAAATAAAAAATTAAAATACAAAATTCATTCGAAAATTCAAAATACGAAATTCAAAATGTTTAAATAGTCTTAGAGTCCGAATAAATAATGGTTCACGTTATAATTTAAGCACAAAAGTTTAGAGGGTGTTATATCCTATTTCTCTAAGAACACTCTTATTAACATCATTGTCAATGATTGAGTTATTCCCTAATGAGTATTCTTAGGTTTCTATGGATCATCCTATCACATTAAAAAAACTTCTGTAACACCCACACAAAAATAATAATAATAATAAAATAAATAAAAATTTGTGTATAATTAAATAATTAATAAATATAAATTTTTATTAATTTATTTTATTTTGTTGTATTTTATTTTATTTAAATTACGATAAAAATAAGTATGAAATTAGAAATAATTTTGGAGAAAATAGGTAAAAATTTGGGTTCTGAGAATATTTTTGAAAGAAAAATCGAAAATCAGGGATCAAAGTGTAATTTGAAGAAGTTCTGCCATGTGGTTCGCCGGGTCAGCAGTTCCCGTGCGCACAGAAAGCCTGGATGCGCTCCCTCCCAAACGTGATCGAACGATAAGATTCAAATACAATCGGACAGCCCAAGGTGAATCGCGATGGACGGTCCAGATTGGATCGCGATGAACGGTCCAGATTAGATCACAATGAACAGTCCAAATTCATTTCCTATTTAATTGCGATCGGACGGTCTAGATCAAACGCGATTGACGGTCCATATCAAAAGTAGACGGGTATAAATAACAATCATCTGCACCAAACCCTAACTCTAGCCACCAGACCCCCTCACCAGAGAAGACGACCAAGTCGCCGAGGAGCCGATCGCCGCCTTCCGCCGCCGGATTGAAACCCTTTCCGACCGCCAAAAAAGGTAAAAACTTCTCATTTTATACAAAATTCAATTTTAAGCTCACCCATGATCAATTTGAGCAAAAAGATCA